TGATAGCAACCACAATTGAAAACAGTTAATTATAATTGTTTCTAGAAGTTGTTCCAGCTGAAGACGCAAAAGAAGAAGCAGTAAAAAATCCCTTTCAATTATTTCCACTTTTAATATAAATCAAGTCCAAACAAAACCTTGAAATTGTCATGAAATACCATAAAATCTAAAGTGAATCGTTATCAATTTGGCAAATTATTCAAGGTCACAATATTGAATCGGAATCTATATATATAAATGATATATATACTATATTTAACACATTTATTGATATTTATTTTCGCAAAATGCGATTAATTTGCTGGACTTCGTTACATATGAAATGCAGCTGATAACTGAAAATTGAAAACTCGAACTGTGAATCGAGAATCGATTATACAATTTTATTTAGTATTAAATCATTGTCAACTGAATTTGTCATCGTGACCCATAAATGCAATGAAATCAGAATTAAAAACAAAAAAACAAACTGCACAAAAAGTATTTCCATTGACAGATAACGTAATTAACATGTAATGTGAGCTCATCTGATTTCTAAAAGCAGCCTGACAACAAATTCCCGGTTGAGTGTGCACTTAGGTAATACAGTAAATGCTCAATGAGAAGAACAGATATTAGAATTGTATAGAATACGAAATTTTACGATGTCATTGTCGTAGTCCATAGAACTAACTGTCTTGTGGGATTATATTTATATATCCAACATCAGCATTATTATTATTATCATTATCATTATCAACTGCAATATTCATTAGGACAAAAGACACGATCGTCATATTTCGTATAGATCATCACGAATCGAACCAATGCACTATATAAAGTCTATATAAATTCTGCCAACATGAAAGAGTCCAATTGGAATCCTATACGTAAAAACTCTTTCAATGGAATTTTCTTTTCCACAACCAAGTCGCAAGCTCAATTTCAATTGGCGGCGCATCTCAACAGTTGAAACTAATTCAAGAGGTCTTACGCCCCACAGCAGTCAATCTTCCAATTAATTAGGCGTATCTAAGTTGAACTGTTGTCTCCACTTGAGCAATTATCATTGGAAAATTGAAAACTCAACTTAATTTATGATTCTTATCAGCATATTGGGACCAGGAACAATTTGTATCTCTTTTTTATTTCCCTTTCACAAGAGAAACCGCTAAAAAAAATTTTTTTAAATCAACTTTTTTGTTGCTTTGATTGATTGAAGGTCTAAATATAAGAGCTTGTGATTGATTGACGACTGTAACTGGAATGGGAGCTGGAAGTGGAACTGGAATCGGAATTCTGTTTTGGGATTACGTGTGGCCAACTTTCAATTGTAAATGTGAAGTATAAATAAAATACAACAACAACAAAGTACAGCGCACAAATTGCGCAAAACGCTAAAGAATGCCACGCCAACAACAAGCAGCAGCAACGGCAGTGAGTGCAAGGAGCGCAGTAATAGCAACAACAAAGACAACATGCGGCCAGCTGCAGCAGCAGCAGAAAAAAGAATGAAAACAAAAGCACAGCAAAAGCATCAAATGGACCAACTTGGCTTTGCCAATTGGAATATTTTATATGTATGAACATTTCATATGCAGTTTGACAAGCCCTGTATGAGTACATATGCGCGTTGATCTTTCACTCTCTCTTCCTCTCCTCTCTCGCTCTCTCTTTCTCTCTATCTCCCTACCCCTCCCTCGCTTTATCTGTTTGTGCGTCGTTGGCCTTTGGCTGCCCCCGTTAAGCGTAATTTAATTTAGCGCAATTGTCTTGCTTACTATGGAAATCACAGTTAGCGGCCAGCGCAATGCCTCTCAAACTGCTATTTATATTAACGGTAGTGCATTAACATGAACATACTTATACATGAGTGCGTATGGGTGTGCTTACATAGAATTGGGCAAGGGTTGCCAGACTGGAAAAATGCGAGAAAAAAGCTAGATTTTGCAGAGAATTAGAATTTAGAAAAAAATTAAACAAATATAGAAATATTTTTTTAAAATCTAGAAAATTTATATAATATGAAAGAAGTAAATATCGTTTTTAGGATAATCAGAAAGTTAAATATACAACACAGAAAAGCAGTTAGTTTTGGTAAAACATATACAAAAAATCTAAAATCATATAAGAACTAGATTAATTCAATGAGCTTGTTTTATTTGTTGTATTCAAATAAAATATATAGCTAAAATTAATAGCCACCCACTGCTTATCTATAGAAAAGAAGCTAGCTTTGGAACAGCTAAATTGGCAGCACTGTCGTGCAAGTGGCCAACTGGCTGGGCCAGGCGAAAATGCCACGCGGAATGCGGTTTAAAAATAAACCAAGCCCCAAAGCAAGCTGGCCACAAAGCAAAGACTAAAACGTGCTTTGGCTAGAGACCCTATTTAGCCTAGTTTACAGTTTACAGCTTACCAGTCGAGCCAGGCTAAATGACCAACTCGCTAGCTGCCGCTGCTGAGCACCTGTAAGCGGGCTGCGCAGTTGCTCTATCTCTATCCCCTCCCATTCTCTCTCTCTCTCTCTCTCACTCTGTCTCTCTAAATGCTGCCTGTTTCGTATGCTAATAAGAAAAGTGTGACAGCGTTCGCAATTTTATGACAGCAACGCACGCAATGTGCGCCCTTCTAATCAAACTGTACAGTTTGACAGCTTCCAACTAGGTTCGAATTGGTTGCGGGTTATGCAACAAGTTTCGTATGTTATGTTATGTTGCTCTTTATCGTTTCGTTTTTCTTTTATTTTCTCATTTCATTTCTTTTTTGTGGTTTATTGAATGCCATAAAACGCGGCTCAGGTGCGTTGACTGCATAAAAATGTTATTATGTCTTGTATTATGGCCGCGTTTATTGAATATAACTCATTCTGATTGGTATTTACTGACTTAACAGTTATATAAAATCAATGTTAAATGTTGTATGATATTTGTATTTAATTTTCAATTTACCTTTAACAGCCTCGTAGTATCCTAAATCCAGCGTGAATGATTTATTGTAATATCCTGTATAGAAAATATATTGTATATTTTCTTTAATTTACTTTGCGGCTTCCGCTCTTGCTATTCCTCTCTCTGTCTCTCTCTCTCTCTCTCTTGAGTTTGGTTAAAATCCTGTACTCCAATTATGTTGCTTTATTATATTTTTGTTTTGTTTACGGTTTCCGCTCTCTTTATGCCTCTCACACACACTAACAGACGGCGTGATATTCTTTTCCTAATTTTCGTTTCTCCTTTTTACTTTCCTCTGCGTCCTGCGTTGACTTGTTGATGTTGTTGTAGTGTGGTGCTGCGTTTTGAATTAAATTATGATTTATTTGTATTGAAATTTTCACTATCTCCGTCCCTTTCTCTCTCTAGCTCGCTCGCTCGCTCATTCTCGCTGTCTTCGCAAACGCGTAAGCCACGAAGATCAATAAACACACGTAACAAAATAATAAGAAGCAGAAGAAGAACGAGATGCTGCGAGAGCCAAGAAAACCGGAAAGTTGTTGTTTTTGCTGTGTTTGTTGTTGTTGCTGTTGTTTTGTTATGCGCGGCGTTCTTTGGCTGCTGCGTTTTTTTTTTTCCAGTTATGTTGTAGAAAAAGTCGAAAAAAATATGAGAATCTCAGCTTGAAGAAATTTATTAACGTATAAAAATGCCACAAGTAGCTTTTTTTCTTTCTACAACATTTCTCTTTTTGTATTTTTCTTTTTAGAACATTAATTTATGCTTAGAATTTTTTGTGGTTTTTGTCACTTGTTGCTTTTGTTTTTGGCCTTAATGTGCTTTAACAAAATCCAATGCAAACACACACACTCACACACATAAGCTCAAGCACACACACATACAACGATGCGCAAAACCAGCTTCGCGGCTTTTTTTTTGCTGAATTTTTTTTTATTTTTTGGGCCAACAATTAGAACGCCGGCGCAGCAGTCAACGCCGCAACTCTTTCTAATTAGCACAAAAACAACAGCAACAAGAGCAACAGCAGCAGCAACAACAACTGACAAAACAGAGCTAAACAGTTAGACGGCTTTAACTATTGCGTTTTCTTTGCATTCAACGGATAATTTGGACATTGTGTTTTACTTTTTATTTGTTGCTATTTTATGAACATATGTATTTATTTTGTTGTTGGCACTTTTAATACATTGCTTTTACGGTTAAATTTTCGGTAGCGTTCCGCGCTCGTTTCACGCACGTCTTGTCAACCCTCGATCTCACTTTACAATGTTGTGCCCGATGTTCAAGTTGAGCATCGAAGCAACTAAGCATCGAGCTATCGATAATTGGTAGAAACCAAAAGTACTCGATTATATTGTCGACGATATATTTTTGCTAATCGATCGCTACCGACAGATATTTAAACAATTCCTTACAACTGCCAGAGAAAACCAAACTAAAATATTTCTATTATAAGTCCAAAAGTAATACAATTTTCACATATATTCAAAAACTGAATATTAATAGATAGATATAAAATTAAAAGTACAGACTTAATATATTTATTTAAATGTGTAAGTCATAATCAATTTGAATATACAAATTATAGTTTTTTAAGGTTAAGTGTAAGTGTTCATTCATGTACTATTATAAAATTTTGAAAGTAACATACATTTAGTTCATCCTTTACATTAAAACTAAATTCATTTTTACATACAAAATTCGTAACGTAAACGCAAATATGAGAACAGAACGCAAATTGCTCACAGCCAACTTTAAGCAACGCACTTCTGACTCCTGTGGCTTTTGGTATTCAGCAGTATTTTTCAATATTTTTCTGATACCTTCAAATAACAGGACGATAATTTATTTCATAATAATTTCAAAATTGTTTTCAAAAAGTATTTTATAATATGCAGGTCTATCTATGACGACAGGAATAAAATAAATATATGTATTTTACTGTTATCAGAAGTAACGAATATGTTAATAAAAATACTATCGTATTTTAAGTTAACAGTGAAAATACTGTCAATATATCGATTGGTCCGTGACTCGTTATGTTTTCCTAACAGACGTCTAACAGCTGGGTAGTAACATTTCTGTTGTTGTTGCGTCGGAGTTCGGACGTGCTTGTCCGTATCGCTCGCGAATAGATTTATTTAATATTTTCCATCGACTTGTACAAACCGGAACTTGCTGAAAATTAGGCAAGTCTGTTGTAAATTGTGCTTGTTGTGCAAAAAAAAACAAAAACAATTAGCATTTACTGCTGTGCGCGTTAAGTATGTAAAGAATACCGCAAAATTTCTGTGTCCCAAAACGAAAAGCCAAAGAGAGCGAGTGGCAGATTTTTTTCCTGTCTACCTACCTACACAAACATACGTATACACACGTATACCTCGGTATATTGGATGCGTATGCAAGTGTATGTGTGTGTATAACGAAGAGCGCAAAGTGTGCGTGTGTCCGTTTGTGTGTGTGAATAATCGCTGAAGAATAAGAATATTAAATATCTCGTTTCGTACAAATATTAATTGCATTCGAAAAGTTTCGAATTCAAATCTGTGCAAAAGTGCGTGCCGCGCCCGTTAAACGTTACACACATACAAACACATACGTGTATCGCTCACACACAAAACACACACTCATACTCATACATACATACAAAAGAGAAAAGTTGTATGGTCAGCAACAAATACAAATTGTTAGTCAAATAGTTGTTTTTTTTTTAACATATATGAATAAATTGTTAATTGTTAATGGTCTGCTTTTTGTCAATTAAATTTTCCAGCAATGCGCATATAATTGAAATTGTTTTTAATCATAAACAACAATAATAACAGCAGCAGCATAAAAAATATTTACAAAAAAGAAAAGAAAAAAAAAAACAAAAAGTGCTTCTGTGTGCGTATATGTGTGCGAGTGTGTGTTGGTGTGCATAGCCTGCATAGCAGTGTGTGCGTGTGTGTGTGATTTGTGTTTGTTTGTGTGTGTGAAGTAGCAGCCGCAACAGCAGCCGCCGCCGCCGCAACAGAATAACAAAAAAATAGCAAATCAAAATGGCGCACCAGCAACAACAACTGGCACAATCGGTGAATTGTTCATTGGATGATATCGATTTGACGGCACTAAAGGTAAGTTGTCAGCCGCAGCAGCTCCAACAAAATCCGCTCCTCAAAAAAAAAAAAACCAAAACAACAATACTTAAAGTCTCTGCAAGGTGTGGCCATGTGTGCATGAATTTGAATTATTTTTGTTCAATTCCATTTCCGCATTTGAGGCTTATCAGCAGCACTTAAATAACTGACGTCCCCAACCCCACTCTGTTTGATGCCCACTCCCAACAAATTCACTTTCAATCAAACTGGCTCTCAATTAGTTCCATTATAAAAAAAAAAAATACAAAAATCCAATAAGAATTCTGCACTCTCGCAACTTGAGTTGCCTATGCTTACAATAATTGTTGTTGCAAACTTGTGGGCTATGGCAACGCCCACTCTACACTCGACTCCACACTGCACTCCATACACAACTTCTTAATGCAAATAATAAATACATAATAGTTGCGATAACTGCATATTGACAATTGCTAGCTCTCTTTGAGTGTGTGTGTATGTGTGCGAATGTGAGCACCCCCATTTTCGCCTCAAACTCACCACCGGCAGCAGTGACCGGCCGGTGTCAGCGTCTTTGCCAAGTCTTGTTTATGGTTCGCTGTTGTTGTTGTTCGCTTGTCTTTTATATTTTTCATTTCTCAATGAACATGCCCCCAACACGCACGCACAAGCCGCACGCGTTGTTTGTGCCATTTGCCTTTGGCCGAGCCGTTGCCGTTGCCGTCGCCTTTCTCTTTCAGCAAACATTCACCACAGAGCTCTGAAAACTCACCACTGCCGCCCCACGTTGGGCGGCATACAACGCGTCGACGTGACGTCGGCGTCAGCCAGCAGGCGCAAGCAGCACCCACAGAAAGTAAAGTTTTGCGAGTGTTGGGAAACAGCGCTGCCTGTCTCTATGTGTGTGTGTGTGTTTGTGAGTGTCCGTTTGTTGACTCTTTCTTGCAGCGGGTGGATGGGCAGTGTGGTGGGGTTGCTGGAGGATAAGGTGGATTGCGACGACGACTGACTCTTTTTCTCTCTCTCTCCCTCTCATGGCTGTGTATGTGCGTGTATTGGTATGTGCATATGTGCATGTGGTGCTGCTCTTCATAGTCGAAGAAGACGAGACAAAAACGAGACAAGAATGAAAATTGTTTAGTTTACTTTATTAAAAGAAGCAGCAGCAGCAGTAGCATGTGTGTGCGTGCGTGTGTATGTGTGTGCACAGACGACATGAAGATGATGATGAAGCACTGAGGAGAAAAAAATGGCAGGCGTGTGATGGCCCCATCAGTAGTAGTAGTTGTTGTTGTTGTAACTGCTGCTGCTGCTGCTGTTGGCCTTCTCGCAGCAGGCGCGTGGGCGCCGACGTCTGCGTTGGCTTTTTAAAGGTCATTAAACAATGAAATACGTGCCCCAAAATAGTATACAGCTTGTTGTCTATATTGCTCTTCTTCTTCTTGTTGTTGCTGTTGTTGTTGTTTTCGCAGCAGCCAGGCGCTGCTTGACAAAAGGTCACAGTCCTTAAAGCTGCGTCGGGGCGAATGGCATTTGGCTGTTTATTGTCGCTGCCCAAGCCACTGCTTCTTTTTCCTCCTCCTCCTCCTCCTCTTCTAATGTCTCCTATGCCCTGTGCAACTGATAAAATACTAAAAACAACAACATAAGTGCATTTATCAGCGTCATTTCATTAATTATTTGTGGATATGTCTATCTATGTACAGTGGTTGCTCGATAATAGTAATTATTAAAAATTATTGAAATTAAATATTTATCATTTATTTATATAAATTTAATAGAGTTTATGGAACTTGCATAAGTTTACCAATTAGAGTTATTCGTTCTAATTAGCGATTGACCACTGTAATGTAGATACTTATGTATGAGTGTGTGTGTGTGTGATTTGAGCATTCTTTCCCTTTCCATCTCTTGTACAAATGTAGTTTAATTTTTTTTCTGCTTGCTTTTTGTTGTTTTTGTTTTCTTATCGTTTTACAGTTTGATAAGCGCTGCAGTCGCTGCTGACGTCGCGCTCTTCTGCTGATTGCCTTCATTTGTGCATGGCCATGTGTCGGGTGCTTCTTACGCACACACACACACATACACTTACACAGGCACACGCGTACGAAGTCTTTGGCTTTGTCTTTGTTTTTCTTGAATGCGTTGCGGTGCATGTGTGTATGTGTGTGCGTATGTGTATTTATTTTAATCAGCAATTATTGCATTTGGCTCTTTGTTGCGATAAAAACGTGTTCGCCCACATTTGGTGTTTGTTGTTTTTGGAGTGCTGCAATTTGTGCAGTTGCTTTTGATTGTTGTTGCTTACAACAACAACATCAACAAATCACACATGTGTTTGGGTTTGGTACGTTTGTGGGTTAAATCAACACGGCTTTGGGTAAATACACTGGGCAAATCCGAAGCATTTAATAACTTAGCACAAATGGAAATGTGCCTGAATGCTTGTGTGTGTGCGTGTGTACTATAGTACTTATAAATTTTTAACCAAGTATATAAGTGTAAAACACTTCATTTCAAATCTAGTTATAATAATAAAATACATACACCTTGAAGTAGGAAGTTGTTAAAATCTTAAAACATAACAACAAAAAATGATATTTTGTTATATATTAAAAAAAAATAAAAATACTACATATAGCTTTCCAGCTAAATGTTAGACTCATAATTCTTTTGTAAACGTGCTTTTTTTTACACCGTCTTTAGCTGTTCATTAGTTTCCGTCTTACACGGAGCATGTTAACTGGTTTCTTTTCCCATTCCGTCAGCTTAATTTGCTGTTGCTCTTAGACACATTTTTTATATTTTTATTTAGCTTCAAGCGCTTGGTAATATGTTTTGCATTCCAAATCGAATTGGTCACAGCCCACACACACACACACACACACACACGCATACATTGCCTCTGCATATCCATTTACATATGTGTTTTATCTTCTGCAACTGCTTTGCCCCCATATCCCCCTCCTTTTCTCTATCTCTGTCTCTCATGCATATGCAAAAAAAAAACTGCTTGGGCATGGGCGTTCGATATGCCGTCAGTCCTGTTGGCGAGTCTCCTTGTTGCACACAGACAATCTTATATATATATATATATATATATTTATATATATATCATTGCAACGCTAACTGGGCCAAGCCTCGTATACGGCCAAAAAGAAATCCAGTTTTACAGCAGCAACAGCAGCTTCAGCAAGTTTTAGACGAGTCGCCAGCGAGTTGTTTTGTTTAGTTTTAGTTTTAGTTGCACTCGTGCCCGTTTTTAACAAATACAACACGAATCAGAGACAAAAGGCAAACAGGCAAAAGAACGTGGAAACAAATATGGGGAAGATGATATACCCTAGCAGATGAGCAAGAAATATGTACAAACAAACATGGCAAAAGAAATCTACAAATGAATCAACTAGATTCGCTTAAAATATTTAATGTCTTTTTTCACTTTTCAAAGACGCAATTCAAATAAGATTTCAAATATTCATATACATATATTATATATAGTATATATCTGATAAGCTCCTACGGCCTCGCTCACATTTCGTAACAAAATGCAAATACCCGCTGCGAGTGCACAAAAAAAAAAAAAAACTCAAAAGAATGAGCACGCAATAGAGATGCGAGTGGAGTGGGAGCAGAGCAGCGCATATTGGTCAGCAGGCAAGCGCAACTGATAACTGTAACCGCAGCGCATTCTGTTGTCAGAACTATTCATAAAATTCAACATACACAACTCCCTCTTTCTCTTTCTCTTTCTCTCTCACTCTTTCTTGATCCCTCGCACTTGCAGCAACAACTGCAGCATTTCGTTCGTTAGGTTTTTGTTTCGCCTTAGCATGTCAACGCTAATGAGTCATAAAGCGGTTTGCAAAGCACGAAATGGGGGGAAAGAGAGAGAGTGAGGGTGAGGGAGAATACTTTGGGGAGCAGCAACACTTGGTTCGTGTGGTTTTTTTTTGTGCATTTTTAATTGATTTTCAACGTGAAGTAATCAGCCATAAATAGCAGTAATTGCTGACTGGCTTCCAGTCTGACGTCTGCTTGCGCTCTCTCCCTCTCTTTCTCTCTCTCTATCATGTGTGTTTGACACACTAAAAACCAACAACAACAGGAATAAGAACAATCATAGGAGGAGGAGGAGGAGGAAGCATATTGACGTTGGCTCATTTAAAGGCAGCCATAAATCTACTTAAGGCAGCTTTCAATAGTTCCTTCTCTGCATTTTCTGCTCTTTCTCTTTGTGGTTTTGTTTTTTATTTTTTTTCGACTTCGACTTACGCTTTGTCTTTTGCCTTTTATAATTCCTGTCGTTGAGGCAGTTGCCTGCAAATTGCTGCTACCGTTAGCCCAAAGAGCCGCTCAGCACACCAGCTTTTGTCTCAAGGGGCCGCGCCGAAGGTAAGCCGAGCTAAGGTGAGGGGAGATGAGGTGAGGTGAGATGTGTTGTACGGCTGTTTATTGAAATGTGTGCAGCTGAAGCTTTTAAAGAGCATTCCGTAACAATGGACTGGAATTCATGCAATGCAGCGAAGAGGCTTAAAGAAATGCATTTACTATCAGAATAACTAATCAAACAAAAAATGATAAAGCGATAGAGATAGTGAATTAGCATATTATATTAAAATCATCGATAGATGGGGCAATGGGGAAAACTAGATAGTATTTGCTGAAATAAAAGTCATATACATTTATATATAGTGAAATTAATT